TTTCCTACTCTTGCTAGATAATAATATATCGCTGTATCTTACAGCCTGATATCTTGAGTAGTACCAGCCAGCACCATCCGGCTTCCCTTGAGATGTGTATTTTGGGATACATTTCACTTTGCAGATAAATGTCGGGAAGCTGCAGGATGTTTCTCGAACTAACTACAAGAGTAGAATTTTGATCGACAACTTGCACTCATATTAGAATAAAATAATAATTTTTTATAACGTAATGGATATTGGATGCTGGACTTAGTTAAAAAAGAGAAATCTGTTTATATATCCCGTAGATACTGAATTATCCAATCTCACAAAGAGTAATTCGTTTGATCTTTAACATATTAAAATATCATGCATTGATCCTGACCCGACCTTGCAACTTCTGGCAAGTCATTCATTTAATATTTATTTCTTATTGATAAATCTGATTTCCGTCTTCTAACGAAACGAGCATACCTTCGCTTTTATTGTATCCTATCAAAACTACAAAGTTTCCGCGACAAAACCCTTCCCATATTAGGCGCAGTGTGTCTCTTTTCATACGAGACGACACTACGCGTTGCGAGCGCATATACGCGCGGCACATTTTGCAAAACCGGTTTCCGGAATTCCATAAGATCTGAAGTGCGCACGAGCGTACGGATGCGCTCATAAAAATTGTCGTTTTGTTTCCCATCGTATTTGCGCCGCAAATGAGTGAGCACACCGGCAGCACAATTAAGAACTGTTAACGCTTCGGTATTTGACTAACGACAAACGTCGCAGAAATTACGGCTTTGTAAATTGCTAATTTACACCGGCGAAATTTCTCCGTAAAAAAAAACGTCTCATGAATGGATATGAGCGTTGTCTACCACCTCGACCTTTCCTCCGGCTATTGGCGACTAAGCGATTGAAGATGCTGAATGAAATGTTATTTATTTCTTTTAGCAATCAATAAAAATTAACATTTCTTTACAAATATTCTCTACGTACGTTGGATATCCTACATGGAAAGAACAAACTAAATATTTACTAAATGTAAACATATATTTCTATTTGATTACATTTGATCTACATGAGATCATTTGATTTTACTATTATTTTTTATTGAGTAAATATTTATTTATTGTAAAAAAATATTTAATTATGTATTGAAAAATGTTAGCACTGAAAAAAATATTATATGTATTGGGATTGAGTAAATTTTTTTCTCAGTGTCAGTGTAGATACAAATCTGAAAATAATGTTGTTGGATCAAAATAATTAAGTAGAAATCTCAAGCATGACGAACAATGTTGCAAAAAGTTTTAACATTCTAGCGATTAGTTTGAACGTCTACATAATTATTTTGATAGTCCAACAAAATTATTTTTAAATCTATAGCTAGTTAAATTTTTAGATACTTCAGCAAAACCGTCCATTGCGTGCATCCTTATAGGATGCAGTTTTAATGATGTATGATCTTCCCGCCACGCTGCTTCGAAAGCATCGATCGCTTCCTTTTGCGGTAAATGCACATGAAAGAAAAACGCACCCGCTTGTAAATCTGGTCGGAACAGCTCCAGTTAGATCGAGCTCCTGATGGTTCGATTGCAGTGGTAATAATTTGTTGTTTGCACACTACCCGATTAAATTTTGGGAGAGCAATGCATTCCAATTTTTCTTAGATATTATCGAATACATTACCAAGTAATATTTCAATTTCACTTATAACTTACTCTTCTACTCTTGAGAGAGATTTAGAAAACACGTAACGTACATCGATACGTGACCTTGCCTAATACGAAAACTTGATCTAAAATAAAATTGCGGCCCTTTTCTTCATTTATGTTTTTAAGTTTTGCATACATGTATATGTATACATGTGTGAATATGAAATATTGAAAATAAAATCTAATTTATAAAAAAAACATGGTAAATATTTATTCTATCTTAAATTAATTTTAGATATCACAAAAAACTTATGCTTAAAAAACAATTAATTCGTAAACTTAGTGTATGAAATTCATGAATGTGGAAGTTCAGGAAATTTACGTATTAATAAGATTATTCAAGCGTGAAAACAAATGAGCTAACTCTTTTAAATGACTGATTTGACGTAACATTACACTGACGTAAACTATGGTGACGGTGATTCTCAAGCTATAAACATGATCACTGTATCTACATCTCCATAATGCCTGACGTAATATCTAGAATTACTTGAATCTGTCAATCGTACCATTGTGATTTCAGGCACGCAGTCGTCAGCCCACCCCAAATTGCAATTCCGCGAATTGCAGCATTCCCGGTGTACCTTTCAAAGCATCAGGAATGCACAAATGAATCGCCGTCATAGTAGTTTGTACGTAACATCACTCTCATCGTCATCCGCGAAAACACGGCTTGTATTTATATGCGATAAAAAATAAAATAAAAATCGTGCTTTGATGTCACAGGCATACAAAAAAGTTTTTAATTCCAACATTAAACGCATAATATTTAAGTTTATTTAACCGTGATTGAACATGCAATATTAAAAAAAGTTTTAATATATTATTATATTAATACTTCATCATTATCATCATCTATTATAAGCTATCATTATTTATATTTACTGCGTGATACAAGGCGTATGCAAAAATAGCTATCTCTCGTACGAAGATGGAGAGAAACGTGAATTTATCTAAATTATGCAACCGCGATAGCGACTAAGGGCGTCGTATGGAGTGCATAATAGTTATCACAAATGTGCAGTCAGTGTATTTTTCAGAGATAAAATAGAACAGACACGGCATTTCTGACATTTGCAATGCGATAGTCAGATTTTCAGAATGCATCATATATTTTTCGAGTATCGTACCATATTTAACATGCTTTTCGTACTATGTTGAATCTCCCTAAGCGATAAGCCAGTAAGAATAATTAAGCTTAAGATTCGCGAAATCTGATTCGACGGTGGCAAATTACGCTTTTAACCTCGCGATATCTTAGATTTATTTACTGACATTTCCTGCTATTCCTTACTACATTCTAATCAGCGCCATTTAAACGTTGACTCTCCAAAAGATACTATCGAACGATAGACGTTAATGCACCCAATTGGCAGACTGCCACTAAACGGAAACGCTCGTCTGGTAGATCTCGTCTCGATGATATTTTAGAAGTGTATATACCAATTTGAGGTTGTCACGCTTTCACAGTATTCTCACATTGTTCACCATTATGTATATAAAAATTGAATTTATCAGTGGCAGAATCATGTTCTTTCATTGCTTACAATTACAGGTTGCACATAATCATTGTAAGTAATAGTTGATTCCTCATCTAAACATAATTTAATGGTTAAGCGGAATAATAAGAATCGGTAAACAAAAATGTCGAAAGTTATTACTGAATCATTTTTTCATATAGCTCGATTAAGGATGTATATATTAGACGTATAGTGCATGCAAAGAAAATTACATTTGGAAGTATATTTAATATTTACACTTCAAATAAACTATATACATATGAAAGTTGTGTGAATAAGATTATATTTTTGTTTAATAACACATTTTTGTAGTTTATTTATTTTATTTGTTATTATTTTTATTGTTAAAAATTAAAATTTTTTTAATGATTTAAAAATTTACATTTTTTTATAAATAGTTACTTTAAATATTCAAAATAATTTATGCAAAGTTTTATTGCAATTTACTGATTAGTAACAAAGATGTAGAACAAATAAATATTTTGTTTATTTATTGGACAATTAATTCGTACATCGCAAACTTTACGTAAATAATCTTGAACACATAATGTACTTATATTTAAAAATTGAGATTTTTATCAATACTATTATTTTATCAATAATTTTATTTTATATAGTACATTTCCATCATATATTTTTTTATTAGAGCACAGATTTAAAAAATACTACTATTTATTAAAATAACTTATGATCCAGATAGTAAGCCGTCATCAAATTTGTCATATTATTTTTGAACGTGATTTAGAATAATCTGTAATTTTTTCATAATTTTGTTATCATTTAAAAAATATGTATAAAACATCCTTAATTCTATATTATTTCAAATTATGAGCGCTATAAATAACGACAGCCTTTGCATATATTATTTCGTGCTTTTGGTTCCTTTTTGCATAACTAACTCTACGTCATTTGATGCAATAATAATAATTCGGTAGTTCTAATTATTCACAGAATCCTCATTGCTGATAAAGTGCTCTTGGCATTGAGTAGTCTGAAATCTTCTCTCACTTTGTTGCAAAGTTACTAATACTTATTCTACGCTCCGTTTTACGACAGTGATATTAAGTGCAATGTGTTGAGGCACTTCAGCTTTGTTGACACGCAGTTTCTCAAACATTTTGCGAGTAGTCGTCGCAGTTCCATTGAGTTTGTTCAACAATTCCTATATCGTCGACGCGTAATTATCGCACGCTCTATGCTTGCTAAGTTCATATATCCTTGAGTTTTAAGACGGTTTGGTGATTATTATGCAAAGCGTGAATAGAAGTCATTAAATCGTACGCGTTCGTATGTACAACGATAAATTCCGCTATTTCGAAATCGTCTTAATCAAGGCAAGCATTAGATATTAAAAGAATGCAGATTTAAGAATGCTCTATGGCATTTTTGTATAAAACGTAGACAATAGAAAATTTCTAACATACAAACTAAAACGCGATAAAAATAATTATTATATATATACTAGGAAATGTATTTTATAAGAAATCTTTTCACAAAAACGTTTCACAGGTAATTTATAAAATAAACATAATATGCAAAAGCGTGAATAATTCGCAGCTACTCCCATGAATAACTACGCGAAACGTACTCGCTTTAAACGAAATCGGGGCAAGCCAGACAAATTCGGTGTACGACAGATCCGTAGTTCCTTGGGATCGGGAAAAGGATCGCGGTAACGTCTGGCGATAGGGGAGGCGCGAGAGAATTCTGCTCGTAAGCTCGGAGCGCGCGAAGGTACGCGCCGAGCGGAATGGAAGCGGCGGCTTCAGTCGGCCACGAACCTCCGCCGAAGAACGGTCCCCATCGTCCAGATCGACGAACAGTCTGGGTATACTCTATCAGCCACGATAGAGATATCTACGACCTCGAGAAAAAAGGACGAAGGGTGCGAAAGTCAATCCTTTTTTCTTCTTCGTGCGACTCTGCGACTTTACGAAACTGCGATTACCAATGTGTCAAATTGAATGCAAGGCGAGGTTGAAGAAACGAGAATGAGGACGATCCTGCACGCGTATTGCGACTTCTATATTGTGTACCTCGGCGAATAAAAGACGCGTGAAGTAGACATGTGGAAGTGTTGGGCCCTGTTTCTGTGTGTCGCAGGTAATTAAATTTAAAGTGCGCAAAGTGGATTAAGCAGATCGCGGACGATCCCAATGAGAGGGACGATTCGGAGTACGGGTGAGTGGGTAAACATAGAGAGAATCCAGCGCGCGATGAATCCGAAAAGTAATAGGTAATAAAAGAGACGATTATACGTTTTTGAGATGTGAATTATAATAATTAAAAATTTGCGGGATAAAGTATTGTATTAAAAAAAATACCCGCAGAGTGGCAACTTACGATGGATACCATATTTGGAAATCGTATTGTGTATTGAAACAATGAAATTACAGTAATAAATAGTCTTTGACAGGAGAGGATCAGGATGCGGCCTCTCTCATCAATTGTGATTCCCATCATAATTTCGCACAATTCGGTATTATTATATAATTAACCTGTGTTTAACCTCGCGGTTAATCCATTATTTTATGTAATTTTGCTTGTTGCCGAAATGTGAGCTTGTATCAATTACAAATAATCGTATCTGAATTATAACATCTATAATTTTATAAAAAATTTTTCGGCAAATTTAATCATTATTTATTTATTACTTAATATAAATTAATAGAAAACGGAATATTAATTTGCAAATTTAAAAGTGCTGAATATAATTGAATATATAATTGATTATGTTTAAAATAATTCAAACGTAATCGTCAACAAATATCTTTCGACGCAGAGACGCTATTGAGCTGTTTGTATCTGTTAGCAGTTACGAGCTTTGCTAATTGGCAGCCTAATGACACTTCCAATATAGATCGGTAGTTACGACAATACAACGTGTAATTGTTCTGTGCACGAATGTGAAGATTATGTGATAATACTGCCAATAACACAACTAATTTTCAACGTTAACAAAAAAAATTATAAATACAGCAAACACAAAACAAATAAAAACTTGGCGAAAATCTGCACTAAGCAAAAAAATTGGGTTCAAAAAAATATTAGTTAATTCAACTAAATGTAGCGGTCACGGGCTGTCAAGCAAATATTTGTTAATTCAAACAAATAATATGTTTTAAATTACAAGATTTTGTTACTCTAAATGTATAAATATTTAAACTAAATACTGATTACGAACTAAACGTATTTAGTCAAGTTAACAACTTTTTTTTCTCAATGTGTTACATAGAACTATAAGTTAACATTATGTTCTTACAAAAAGATTTCCTATTCTGCGAAAAGTGCTTTGGTTATTAATCCTGTTTAATCTGACGTTGTTTTATTCACATTTTTCTTGAGAAAGTCGACTTCAATGCTCCGCTAAAGTTCGATAAAAGCTTGAAGCAAACCTTAAAAGAAATGCATATTTTATATGAAACATATGTGAAATTTCTGTACGTAAGATTAAACGTTACTTACAGGTGAAATATTGCGCAGACAGTTTTGGGACGCACATATTTTATCGGTGCATTTTCTGATGGAAACCGCGAATATATTAACGATCGAAACACATGTCCTAGTCCAACAGACATGTAGTTTCTGAACAGATGTAACGATTTATTTTCGTGAGATTGAATCTAGGCGGAAACGATCCTAGCAGAATGGTATCATCAAATCAGATCTGTGGCGAGAATAGCTTTAGGCACAACAATCATAAAATGTTTACGATCGTACAAATTGGAAAACTCAAAATTAGTCAATGGTATAATTATTATAAAGATATGTATGTCACATTGGATCGTATAATTTGATAAAGCTTATTTCATAATAAAAATGATGTAATTATTCAACGATTAGTTATAGTCGAATGATCATAATCCTTATGATTTACGACGAATAAAATTTTAATTCACCTGACTCAATTAAGTCTCTTTGACAACGTGACGAATAAAAATCAAAAGTTAATTGACCAATTACCAATAATAGCAGTTCATTCGTGAAAGTGACGATAAATTCTGGAAATATGAGAAGAATGTCCACCCAAGCGACCGAGGTTTAGCCTTGTGCCATAAATGTTGTATGAATGAAAGTGCAAATTGTAGGCAGATATGCACCATAAATATAATTTCCTGTCGCGACTATCGGTATCAGTCGATGGTTAGACGAGCTTGAAAATATCGGATAACTCGCGGGACCTTTCTTTGAAGGTTAAAATACAATCATAATACATAACACTATCGATAATGGATGCTGTAAACGAGAATTATCAACTTCAATTACAATTTTAACTTTAAGGAATTCTAACTATAGCTTCAGCATACGTTAGATATTTATGCGAGTTTATCGACTATGACCCGTAATATTTGCAATTCGTAACTATGTGACGGTATTTACATGTTCGTGTAATTCGCTAACAAAAATGACATTATATTTATTTGATATTTTTTCGTATATTCTATTCTTTTTTTCAATATAAGAATATTAATCATTTAGGAATTCAATAATTCGTATCAATTATAAAACACGATTATATATCTATAATTGCGTCCATGAATAGAAAAAATCCTTTGCGTGACTTCCTATATATATATATATATATATGTGGTTGAATATTTACGTGAATAAGCTGCCGCTACTTCCACAGTATTTTCTGCCACTAACGCGAAAGTTATTTTAGTATCAGGCAGCAGTTTGCACACCTGTGATAAGAAGTATATGTTATAATAAGGTGTGCAAATCAAGAAAAAAATTATTTCTGACACTCATAAATATAACGTTCCTAAGAAAAAAATTCTGATAAAAGTTTTTTTTATTTAATTTTTAAATAAAAAAATTGGAACGTAAAAAATCTAATTTCATACTCGTATCAAATTATGTTTTGTAAAAACTAGGAAACTAGGATAAATTTTCACATTAGAGATTTAAATACAGCCTCTCGGAATCTGAATTTCCTGCTGAAATGAAATATGCAACATACGTGCTGCCCATCTCGTTTGTTATGTCTCGCATTTTAAAACAAGTCGTATATTGCAGCGTCCAAAGCTACAACAAACTCTCTCTCTCTCTCTCTTTAGCATAGTTTTCAAATTCACGTACAACTAAACGCGTAGTAAATTCTGGCAAAGAATATTTCGTGAAATTTATAATAAATTACAATGTTCTTAAATAAAAAATTTTTACAATTATTATTATGTTAACCAAGTAATTATAATTATTTTAACCACAATTGATGCTTTCCTCCACGTAATTACAAAGCTCATTCAAATTAGTACATGCGCAGTACTACATTCAATCAATGATTAACTAAAATTGATCACACTGTAATTAAGAGGCGTGCAACTGTTGACAGTGCTATTGATTTTTATTATTCATAGAAACCAGTTCTCGTAGAATTTTGATGTGTGTAAACGTGCATTTGACTGCTTCAAAATAGGCAATCACTATGCTTTGACATGCACTCCGGGTATTAACTAACCGATTAACTATCTGATACCAATCCATTTACATCTGCGGTCTATATATCACATTTGTACATACCAATATGGTTTAAATACCAAAATTCTACCGTCAGCAATTAAATATCTAAAAAATACTATATAACATAAATTTAACCTATATTTAGAATAAAACAATGTACTATTTGCGCTTCTAGCAATGTGAATAATGATTCTGTCAAAGAAATGTGTATAAAATAAAACAATTTAACGAAACAAAAAATGTCGAATATCATCATACGTTCAATTTCTACTTGAAAAAGTAAGTATTTTTAATGCGTTATTTTTATGAGTGTTTCGTAATCTCACGTTAGCTTTTTTGCTCATTACGGAGGTAATAAAAAATGAAAAAAGAACGCGCAGCTAAAGTTGCTTTCCAATTCAATAACCTCGCGTCATTTATTATCGAGGTCGAAACAGCTGATATCATGATATTAAACAGTTATGTTATTCCAATTTAAGTAAATTTACGATTTAATAGAAGGTTATTAGAGGCTTAATACCCTTTTTCCACTTACTTCAATTTGTTTACCTCATCGATTTATCCACACTAGAAATTACCGTGGATTAAATACGAACTTAATAGAAGCGTTCGATTCTTCCACATGTAATTGTCGTGCGAACAAGAATATATTTTCCATATTGGAAGTCTGCGGGCGGAAAGGTTAAATCTCTGGTATTTATTAATAGTCATACGATACTGGTTGTGTATCATAAATGGAATTTATGGTGACATGCGCGCCACAAGGTTCGTCTACGCGACGATGACTCACAAAGATGGATCTTTGAGTAATTAATTGGACACATATGACAAATAACCATTTCTAACGTACCATTGATACGCCGTTTACACGTAAATTTTCGTAACAGCTACATTAATTTGTAATAAACGTTGGCACACACCTGTTGGACAAATCCTTCCGTTACAATCTTTCGTAGAATTAAGTCGCGAATTGTACATCCTTTTCGAAATTGTTAAACCTTCTCAGATACGGAAATTACAAAAGCCCTTAAAATCTCTTGAATCATTTGTATTTTAAAATCTTTGTTAATGCGTTTCAATCTGACATTTCAATTATAGATAACGGTGCCTATTGTATGCGCACATCAGCATCGCATATCGTTATCGTAGAAAGCTGCTCTATTTATGCCGGTCTATTTCATCCAAAGGATCTGTCACGCCCTAAACATTTCAATCGATCGAATCAATCGAATGTTTCGTAGCTAAATCATTAAAATTATAATGACTAAAGTTCGTTTTTTTCCTTAATAAAAGCCATCAATATAATGTGTTTTTTTACCTTTTTTCTTGCCAGATAAGTAAAGTCTACAATATCGCGTAATAAATATACACCTGAGACGAATATACATATGTGAATACAAAGATAAAATCCATGATTTATAAGTTTACCTCAGATTACAGAAGTCGCACAATGAAACGCGGGTGTGTCCTCGAAATAGGACATTTACATTTTAATGATAAACCTGAGAACGCTGCGAATCTGATGTCATACGAGGCGGAGGATTAAATAACCTATTTTACGAAACAATGCTCAACAATTTAATGATCGATAATACTCGTATGTCTATGACGATATGAAATGGTGTGGCGCCTAGTCACGCTTGAACCGCAGACGGCATTACATAATGTTTAAATTCCGTTCAAGGCCACGAAACAAAAATGTATTCACTTGGAGCATATTAATTATGCGCATATATTATGCAAGTAGAAAAGATAAAAATATGCATTTTAAAATAGTGAGATTTATCAAAACAATAGAATTTGTGCCAAAATAGAACTGTTGAAAGTTACTGTCAAATACAAACGAAGTCAAATATACCTTTGTTTTATGCTATTTTTAGTATTCCAATATAATTTACAAAATTCTGGCTCTTTTTCAAAGAGTTCTAAAGTGTCTGATATATTTTAAAAAGAATTCTGACCATTAAAATAATAAGAATCGTAAATACTGAATGTTTCAGCTAGGATCTCTGAGTCAAACTTCAAAGGACGGTATAGATCTCACAGAAGATTTTTGTTAAGGAACCTGTATCGTCCAATGCATTTTTAAGGAACTAGGTGTCCGGTTGCACGCACGTGATGTCTGACAATAGTAGTTCACGTCCTTTGATTTTGCTTTTGCAAAAAGACAAAAAAAGCAAAAACGTCGACTAGTATTGTCACGCACAATGCTGCCTCACGATCGATTGCGTACCTTACAGCCGATCCAAACAAGGACACGTAGCTTCTTAAAAATACGTCGGAGAAAACGGGTTTCTCAAACAAAAGTTTGAGAAAACGGGTTAATAAAAGTTAAAAAGAATTAAGTTGATTCTTTCGGTAAAATTTACCGTCTCCTAAAGTTTATCCCAAAGAATCCCTATATAATGTGCGTCAACTATTGTCATTTTTATCATGAAAATTGGTCGCTTTTTTGCCTTCAGTTAGAATCGATTGAAACCATATAAAATATATCTAGTGATGCATTTCGATACGAGAATCTCGAATATCGTCTCGGAATTTCTCGTATCATTAAAAATATCGTTTCCGAGATTATCATATATCATTTGTTTTTCTCGTCTCGGTCTCGTCAAATGAAACGAGATAGCCGATATTCTTGAACGTCTCGCGGTAAAATTCGAGAATCTCGAGAAGCGAGAATATCGGCCCATCGAGACGAGAATCTCATATCAATCATTTGTTTTTGTCGAGACCAAATTTTTGTCTCGATATCGGTATTTTCTCGTCTCGTCTCGCTCGAATGCATCACTAAATATATCGGAATTATCGTACGTTAAATTATTTCAGCGGTGTTTTCATCGCTTTAATCGATGGAACTCTTCTAAACCTAATTAAGAACTCTCAAACTCTTCAGGGGCAATCAGAACTCCGCTTATTTTTTCCAAATTTTGAAAAAGTGGGACCAACTTCACAAATGTCTAAATTATCTACTAATGGTTTTTTTTATTTCTCTAAGATTTCTAAGATATATTTCCGAATATCCGAAAATAAAACTTATGAAACTTTCACAATTTGACGAAATATGATGATTAATCATATCTAATATCTTCTTTCTTTTAGGTTTATCCTCGGCTGTTTTGGAGGCGCCAAACTTTGATATTAGTCCTTTGACTAATCAATCCATAACGTTACGACAGCATGAACCCGTGAGAAGATTCGCATGTCCCGTGGGATTCTTTCGACTGAAACGATTCTGTTATTACCTCAGCGCCGGTACGGCACCATGGAGAGAGGCGTACTTTCACTGCAAGGACAGAAATGCCACTTTGGCAATATTGGACAGAAATGGAAAGGACAAGATGCTAAGGAAATACCTAATGGGAGATCAATTTAGTGAGTACAAGCTATTCTTTTTTCGTCTAATTGTTACATCATTCAATTTTTGTTTAAATCCACAAATCAACAGCAAAATTGGAGCGATGGATCGGAGGAATTTTCAACTGGCAACAAATGGCTTGGGAATGGGGTGTAACAGGTGAAAAGATGGTTTTCCAGAGTTTTGGAAAAATGGAACCTGGAAGATCTAAGAAGTACGCATGGCATTGTATTATAATGGATCCTGTTTTAAAATATAAGTGGAGTGCAAGGAGTTGTGTGGAACGGAAGTATTATATATGCGAAGTACCCGCCGGTCGTTTAGGTATAGAAATGTATTCAAAATATTCAGCAGAAAAAGCTTTCATAATTTTACTGATATAAATGTAACAAAATTTATCCACGACATTTTTGCTTTTTTAGCAAGAAGACGCAAGAAATCGCAAGACCCCTTTGCGCCGCAAAACCAAAGATTAAAGCCTAGAAAAAAGGGCAAAAAGTACTTAGACGAACAGAGGAAACCAGGTGAAAGAAAGAAGAATCGATCAAATTCGAGAAGAAATTGGTTGGATCAAGGAGAGAATCAACAATGGGCCCACGGTGTCAAACTAGGATCGCGACCACCTTCTAAGTATTAACATCTTCATATTAAACTATGTTTAATATAAAATATTGCTTTAAAAGTTATTAAGAAAACATATAAAAAGTTTTAAGAATATATATGTATATATACACTTAGCAATTTAAATTTTCTATAATTGATAATTTTTATACAATAATTTTGACAGTGTGAAGGTGATGCCTAGAGAGCGCACACGACATCATTCAAATAGAACCCGTGTACAATCAACTGTGCCAAGGGTAGCCCAAGTACTCCCACAAGGACGAGAATATGGCGCATTTTTAGCCAACGGATACCATCAATCCCAGAATTTAGCGGATATGGACAACGTTCTTTCACAGTTTCATAATAAAATAAACGACTTCGCGCGGGAAGAGATTTTGTTAAAGCCGTGAAAGAAAAAATTGAATCATTATATCATAATTATATTTATAATTGCAGCTTTGCTACTGCTCTGTTACATAATATACGCATCTAAGAGAAAAGCCATTTGAAAGATAAACTTTCACTACAACGACACTGTTGAACTGCCAACGTTATTTTATTATAATTTATATTATTTATGGCTGTTATTGTAAAAATTAATTTTCCAAACCGTAAAAAGTTAGTATAATTAAAACTAATCTCGAAATATAAAACTTCCTTCAAATTCCTCTGTCCAAATATTGAAGTTTCTAAATAGAAGCTCTATTGATGTACTAATTAATGATCAGAATATTGTAGCCATCGCATTCGATACTATTACTGACATCTAAATATTCTCGGTGTACTTATCTATATTGTAACATCATTACTGAAAATCAATCATCGTCTTTCTATATCTTCTTCTAGTTCAGTGATTATTCAGTGGTTTTTTGCTAAGCAATATCTTGCACAATTAATGAATTGTAACGCTTGAATGTTTCATGTACCGATTAAAAATCTTACATTGTCGAGGCTTGTTACTATTTCGCGAGATAAACGCGAATTGAATAAGGAATTATAACTATCATTCAGCAATTAATTAAATTATATTATAGCGCGATATTCATTTACGCTAATCATAGTGCATAGTTTTTATAAATGAATTGCAGTCAGATAGTTAAAAAGCAAAACAAAACTCTTTATAAAATATCTTTATTTTTTGATGCACTCTTGTGTTCGTTACTTTTTCATTGCCTTGTCTGTAAATATATCAACATAAGTATCGATATACTCTCTGTATTTAACGATGTATAATAAAATACTGATATACCCATTTTTACGATGCAACATCATCAACAATATTAAAAGTTGTTGACAATCACAAAAATTGTTGATGATCACAAATTGAGGACAAATTCTATTAACATATATAAATTAAAGCATAAAACATACATTCTTACCTTGATGTAGGTGCAAAGAGCATCTCCTTTTGGTTCTCCATTGCCATCTTTGTATAGTTTGATTTTGTCTTTTCCCTTTTCGTCTCTTGCTATGAGGCCACACTTGGTAAAGAGTTGTGTGAGTTCTTCTATGGTAATATCCAAAGGTAGGCCAGATACATAGATAGCAGTGTTATGGGCTTCGTCAACTTCAAACCAGGTCGGCGGTTCTTGAGCTTTCCGTTTGGCTTCTACTTTCCTCTGCTCCTTTTCTTCCTTGATTTTCTGAGTAGGTGGAGGCTGCTTTGGCTCTGGTGGTTTTGGCTGTGGTGTATTCGTATCCGTAAAACCATAGCTCATCTGATACTTGGCCATAAAATCCTCATCAACTTTTGGAAACCAGGCATTTTTTTCTTTATCCCAGAAGTACACACTGCCATCATTTGGATCTGTATAAGTATGCGTGTCGTTTTCAAAGCCAAAAACTTCAGCTGCACCAGCTTCAGGACCAGATTCTTCCTCCTTTTCCATTTGAAGACTTTTCTTACGGTCAGAGCTCACTTTATTATCTTCTTTCACAATCCATTTATTATTCTCTTGATCAAACTTATAAGTAATATTTGTCGCCTTGTCAGTGTAGATGTACGTTTGGCCGTCAAATTCATAATTCTTCATAGGATCGTCCTGTTTCTCTGATTCCATGTTTGCTCTGACTGGCGGTGTATCAGACATCTTCAATGACTCATTAGATTACCTTCCAAACGACAAACCTTGAATACAGAAAGGTAGAAACTTATTGACAATATTATAATGCAATAAGCATAACATAAACACAGAGAAAAAAATACAAGTTCATTTACAGATTACACGAATATAAATTTTTTTAGATAATATCTTACACTTTTGTTCACATTCTAATATAGCTTATCAATATTTTAAATCTTATATCCAACAAATTAATCGTAGACATGCAATTTGAAATAAGAGTAGCGTGTATAACATTGGAGAAATAAGGTTAGAAACACGATAGGAACTGACAGTGGAAGAATTCTTTCGTACCTATCAATATTTTCCGCATCAGCAAATTCCACGATGATTGTTGCACTAATTAATAAGTAATTCGCAAGCTTACAACAATCAACATCGAAAATAATTCAATCTTATCGAGCAATTGATAGAAAGCCAGCCTATGTGACCGACGCGCGATATACATCGAACGCGACTGCGGCAGGTGTCACGTGATGCCAGCGCTACCTATACGTCAAACGCAATAATTATAATAATAAAAATTTAATGAGACGTCAGAACTATATAATTGATGATCGTTTCTATAAATTGCAGATTAAAAACGGCCACTCTTACAAAAAGTTCACATGCCTATTAAAATTTTAATGATTACTAAGAATAATTATAGTGATAATATAGTACTAATTTCATGATTTATTAGTTTCGTAGATTTGTATATACATATATATATATAATATATATGTTTAAAACTTAACAATAATCGATTTTTATTTAAAACTGTAATTTTAATGTTATCATCCGAATTTGATTATCAATGGAGATATTAACTGTAAAAAAATTTGTAATTTTTCAGCAATTAGATATTATAGCATTAAAAGTATGCATACTTATTTATGCATTTATATAATATAAATAATGAATTTAATAATGTATTGTCCAAATATATATATATATATATATATAAATTGTTAAAAATCACAAATTTGTATCAATTATCGATAATATCATTGTTCTTCAATTATCCACAGACCCCCGGGACCCCATTGATATATGATGCTTTCCAACAAGTATGACAGTATGCCTTCCACCAAGCGACACAGTGCAATACAATGATCATGTCATCTTTGTTTAACATTGGCAAACAACAAGGATATAATGATCTATTGTGTCACACCGTGTCATTTGTGAGTGCTTTCCATTTGATGACACAAGTCGACACAAGCGTTGTTCTATCCTTTTTAACATTCAGAGGGTAACAAAGATAGAACGACACTTGTGTCAATTTCTGTCATCAAATGGAAAGCATCCTGTGTCACTTGTTGGAAGGCACACAGTGTGACATGCAGTGATCATGTCATCTTCGTTTAACATTTGTAAACAAGTGGTCTGTTTTCTGTTCCTGCACTAGACTGTTCTAGAACTCTCTTTCTCGCTTTCGACAAATATCAAACGTATATCTATCTCACTTTAAGTTCCTAAAGTGTACACTAGTCCAGCCACAGAAAACAGACCTAAAGATGTAATGATTTACTGTGTTACACTGTCATCCGTTCACTCAATTATAAATCCCACACAGCAAACGTATCAAAAATATATCTTAGAAATATCTTAAAGATATATTTGGGATATGTGATATCTTTAAGATATCTGTCTGATGTATTTTCGGAAATTTTTGCTGTGTGGAATCTCTTTGTCAAAAATATCAAACAATTCAATTTTTTATATTATATTTGCAAATTTCCATTATTCTTATTAAAATATCTGCATTTCTCCTAGCAAACATTAAATTACTTATAACGTATCTATTATAATTGTATAATCTATTATAATTTCACACTCAAGCAACAATATAACTATAATATATAACACGTTATTACATATAGTTATATATTATTACAGTTATATTGTTGAGTGGGAATTTACATCCAAGTAATAAACTGACATTATTTTTCATTATTTTGTTATTATTTTTCGTCAAAATATCGTTAAAAAAACAACAGCTGTATCACTTGGGAACTAACAGATACATTACATGTAACTTGGTTTGCTGAATTGTATTTATTTGTTTTTATACGAGTTATGTCACTTTAGTTCCTTATAATTAATCAGGATTGAGTAAGTTAATGTTTTTTTAAAACACTAAATTAAGTTAAAGTTAATTAATGGCTTTTATAAAAATAATAAAATTAAATTAAAAGTTGAAGGAATAAAGAATTAACTTAATAAAAGTTAAGTTAAGAGTAAATTAACAGTTTAAAAAAAAGTTAATTTTGAAAAAAATTATTTTTGAGATCAGAATGTTCTAATTTTTCTTAAAATAATTACTTTAAATAACCCAAATATAAATTATTAGGTAAATTTAATTTTATATCCACGTCTAAGTTATTTATCATATATATAATAAGAGTCACACCATGAGATGTTTTTGTCAAAATCTTGCGAGAGAGAAGGGTATATATTTGCATTATTTCTCTTTCTTTAATCTTTACCTAACTTTCATTAATTTCTGAAACCACTGTTCATGCATGTTTATAACTACATCGACTAGATATTTGTTACAAACAATATACGTAAAAATTTTGAAAATGAGTAGATGTGCAATACTTATACAACAATTCTTCATCTAAGGCTCATTTCATGTTGTATATTGCTGAAATATAACGTTTGTGATACCTAAAATTAGTGTGATTCAAATATAAGCGGGAATTGACAAAATCTAGCAAGTCTACAGGCCTGTTCTTTTTGGCTGAACTTTTGCACTAGTTCATCTTTCTTCCTTTTCTCTCCAGCAGGAAAGAAGAGGAAGAAAGATGAACTGGTGCAAAAGTTCAGCCAAAAAGAACAGGCCTAATAAAAACTGGCTAGCGTATGGTGTGACTCTTATTATAGAGTCTTTCATCATAAAATCATTGAATTTTTTCTAAATTAATTCTCTAATGGTTAAGACTTTATAGAAAAAAAATATTAATATTAAGAAAGAGATAGAAACATTTTTTATTTAAAACAAATTAATAAATTAAAGTTTAAAAGTAATTAAATCATAAGTTAAAAATTAATACATTTAAACTTAACTTAGTTAAGTTAAAAGTTATTAACTTTTTAACTTTTTTTTTAACTTTTAACGTTTCAACTAGTTACTACTCGACTCTGTAATTAATTAATACCTTTAATTAACATACGAGGGTCGTCTGAAAAGTTTTGAGCCTCAACATGAAGATGGAGTTACTCGTCAAAGCCATTCTGGTATTATAATCGTGATACTTACGAAAGATATCTGTGATAATTGTGATCACTTTGGACGTTCAGTTCTTGTTTGACAATCATTTGTGTCATTTTGTAAAAATGGAAAAAATTGAATATCGTGCTATAATTAAATTCTTGCATTTAAAAGGCAATACGTCTACGCAAATAAAAGCCACGCCGTTTACGGAGACTCTGCCCCATCTTTTGCCACCGTGAAAAGATGGGTAGCTGAATTTAAATGTGGTCGTACCAGCTTAGCTTATGATGAGCGTTCGGGACGGTCAACAACTGCGACCACCACCGATAACATCGAAGAAATTCATCAAATGATAATGGACAACCGTTGAATTAAGATTAGGGAGATAGTAGAGGCTGTTGGCACATCAAAAGAACATGTTTGTCATATATTGACTGAAGAATTAGGCATGCGTAAGTTAACCGCGCGTTGGGTGCCGCGCTTGCTCATTCTGGATCAAAAACGCATTCGAATGAACATTTCTAAGGCTCTGTTGGAGCGGTTTAAGCGAAACGAGTCGGATTTTTTGCGTCGATTAATAACGGTTGATGAAACTTGAGTCCACCACTTCACTCCTGAAACGAAAGAACAATCAAAATAGTGGACTGCGAAGGGTGAACCTGCTCCGAAGAAAGCGAAGACGGTTTTATCGGCGGGAAAGGTGATGGCGACTGTTTTTTGGGACAGTCATGGAATTGTGTTGATCGACTATCTTGAAAAAGGTTAAAACAAAAACAGGGACATACTACGCATCATTGCTTGACAAGC